CTCCTCTGGTTGCTGCTGGTCAGCGTGTTCTCTCTCCGAGGAGCACTAATTAAACAACCGCAATAATTAAACAGAGTTTCCTCTCCGAGAAACACTCCATCACACCGACGTCCTGTCCTCATCTCCTGTCCACACACACACACACACACACGTTATCAAAGGTCACTTCTGGGGACATTTCGAAGACTTGCATTTAAATCCCGGATGTTTTGTTCTAACCTTAAATACTTATACAAAAATCTGTGTATTCTCAATTTAGGACAAGGCTTTTGTCCCCATGTTGGACAAACCGTGCCCAGTTAACTGGGCTTAAGTGCCAAGTGTGTCCCCCAGTATCGATCAGTGTTACCTGCACACAGAGCGTCCAGCCTTGAACACGAGAGTCTAATTAGAAACAGGGAGCGGCGTGTCGAGCTGTTTTCCACTCCGCCTCTTTCTGTCTCTCTCTCACACACACATTCACGCATCCAGACCACAGACCGTGACATCTCGAGAATCTTTCATCAAATCTGCCTCGACATGTATTTCGCGATTTGTTTGGAATTTGGGCACGACTGACTGAAACCAGATTTTGAGAAAAATGTATTTGACATCTACTTTGACATTTTAGCTGAGTTCATGTCCCGTTAGCTAACATGGAGAGGGCCGGGTCTACGACCTGATGACCTAAACACACACTGATACAAACACAACCTCGCACTATTACAACTTTTAGAGCTCACGACAATACATATATATATATTTATCATTCACAAACACTGCTTTAAATTGATGTTTTTAACGTCAAACTTTCACTTAATATGTATAATTATAAAGCAAAGAATGAAACTAAAGCAGAGGACAGTTACCCAGATGCATTCTGGTCATTTTTTAACCACATGTACAGCGTCACAAAGTCTCAAACATCAGATTAGAAAAACAACTCTGAAGCGACAAGAGCAATCATTGCCACATTTTCTGCTCAGTGAAATTGCAGATGGTGTTAGAGTTGAATTTAAATTAGAATTAAATGTGACGTGCTCGCCCTGTCGGCCAAAGGACGGCCGGCGGTGTGAGGGCGGCAGAGCTGGCTTTGATAATAGCGCTGGCATCGACCCGCTATAGATTTCCCATGCATCATGTTTTATCACGGTGATATTTGATCTGCTTAATGGAGGCCTCACGGCATTCACACAGTCCCACAGGGGCTTCGGTGCAGCCGGGGGCTATTAATAACCAACAGAAGCATCGAGCCTGTCGAAACATGACAAAAGACTTTATCTGGTGGAATTTTGACGGTGACTCGCCGGCAGGGACGGATGATTCTCACAGTGAACGTTTTTTTGGCGCCTGTCAAAACAAAACGTGGAAAGATTGTGTAGAACTCATTCATCCTGTTTCGTTCATCCTCTTTTCACCCACCGACGCTCGGGACGGACGTGACTTCTTTCGGAGTTAGCGCTCGGCGACAGCGGCTGGTGTGATTGTATCTGTTATCATTTCCCGCCACCGCCGACGCTGCTGCTGCCACCGTCGCTCACTTTGAGTTACCGTGGCGACACTCACGCTGTTTGTTCCCATGTGGGATATATTTCTGGAAAGTGCTGCCTGAGTTAGAATGGCTTTGTAAGGAAACAAAATTATTTTAATGCTGATATAATATCGCAGGTTAATGACTCAAAAGATTATCAGTTGGTATAAACCACTAACTATCAACCTTCAGTTGAGTAAAGGAAGCTGAGAATCTACTGAGTGTGAAATAATCACCGCACGATTCTTGGAAGTCGCCTCTTTAACATTCGTCCGCTGTAGTCGACGCCGGTTTCCAGCGGAGACCAGAAACTTCTCATTCAAGTTTCAACATGTCAACGTTCATCAGCTCTACTTGCTGCAGAATATTCTGCACAGAAATGACGATGGTGTTGTTTTGGAAAACAAAGCGCGTGGATCAATGACGTAGAAGTGTTGAGATCACAGGAGTTTTTCATGTTTTGGATCAGTGTTTCTTTCCTCTAATGTGTTTTTTGTTTGTGAGACAGAGGCTGAATAGAGGAGCTGTAGCAGTGGACAGTTTGAGGGAAAGTGATGTTTTCTGAACATTAGAGATTAAAGATATTCAGGTAATAAAACCACTTGAAATTCTGAACCTCAATCTGAGCAGAATAAAACCCAGACGACTGAGAATCCATCGCTGCTGAATCCAAGAGTCATAATCTGAACGTAGACTTTTCTGCGGTTATAGATTTCCACCGAACCGTGTGAATGGCTTTTCTTTTAATCGCCTTTTTCCTAGCCCTCTTCCCTTCGCTTCCTTCATCCCTCTCCTTGTCTGTTCCTTCTCCTTTTTAAACGTTCACTTTCTAATATTGGGATAAAGCAGCTGTTGCTTGTCTTTCTTCTCCTCCCTCCATACTTTCATCTCCCTGGAAATGCAACAGGGTTTGGATTTAACACTCCCCTCCTCCTCTTCCTCCTCCTCCCCTCCTCCTCCCATATTTTCTGACTTACATCTTTGTTCCAAATCTCGTCTCTTCCCCTGAAATACCTGTTTGAGGAGCTAAAGAAATCTGAATATCAAAGCCTGTGCGTTCATGTGCATCTGTTGCATCACCAGCGTCTCTCTCTCTCTCTCTCTTTCTCTCTTTCTCCCTTCATCTTTCCAGGTGGTGTCCATGGGTCTGTACCTGGGGGAGTCGGCCTATCTCAGGAGCAGCTGGAACATTCTTGACGGTTTCCTGGTCTTCGTCTCTTTGATTGACATCGTGGTGTCCATGGCGGGTGGCGCCAAGATTCTCGGCGTGCTGCGCGTCCTCAGGCTGCTCAGGACACTGCGTCCCCTCAGGTGGGCAGGACAAACCCCCCCCGCCTTAGTCATAGAATAATGATCCCTAAAATAATAGTTGGTTTTTTTTAAATGTGTCGACAGAGGTTGAATTTGTAATATTTCGATTTTAAAATCTTAATGTTTGTGTCTCCCTCCGTCCTTCAGGGTGATCAGCCGGGCCCCAGGCCTGAAGCTGGTCGTTGAGACCCTCATCACGTCCCTCAAACCCATCGGCAACATCGTCCTCATCTGCTGCGCCTTCTTCATCATCTTCGGCATCCTCGGCGTTCAGGTAAACATCATCAAATATGGATTTGTGTGCTGTTTTTTTTTTTTTTTAACTTTCTCTTTCTTATTAATCGTAGAATCTCACAAAGCCTTGAACAATTTATGACCTCTCGCTGCAGCAACTTTAATTGGGCCTGCGACGGTCAAACTGTCTCAGACGTAACGTGACCTAACACAGTGACCCCCATGCTCACCACGGCCCTGTTACGTTTTCCTCGACATGAGAATCGAAGTGGGTCAAAATATTCAGTTTAAAGCAGAAGGTAAAAACACAAAAAGGAAGATTAGACGTGATTAATCTGTAACAGTGAACATGAAGTGAGGCTGCGTGGCCCTGGTTGAACCCAGGACAAACTCACACTGTCACAGCGAGGACGAGGAGGGTAATTAGAGCAGGATCCAACAGGAAGAGGCGCAAAGGAAAAACAAGCCGAGACGTAACAGGTGTCGGCATTTTTCTACCAAAACAAACCTCTTCAATCCTTTACAGACAAATGTGTTGTGCTCATGTTTTCACTTACGGGTCTCAGATGGAGGTCGACCTGAGAAAACCTCCTTTATGAATATATTGTTTTTACATGTATTGAGATCAGATGCATCCATTAAACACCAGCTGTAAATATTCAGTTAAAAGGAAGAAGCCAGAGGATTAGAACATTATGGTTTAAAATCCTGGATCTGCTCCTTAAATCCAATCTGCAGACAAAACAAAAAAACTTTCCTTCCATTAAGTTTAGTAAAAAAAAGGTTCTGAAGTTTTTGCTTAATCCTGCAAACAAACAGTGATAAAAACAAAACCTCTTTGACAACGGTAACATCAACGTCTATAGTCGGTCAATTCGTACTATTATTGTATTTGAACAAATTAAAATAAGAATTTAAATCTCTCCTCACGAGCCTCATTGAACCACAGATATATCCACTATTTTATATTTGTCATTCTATTGCCTGTTCTCATAGAGCTCACTTGGTTTTTTAACTCTTGTATTTAATTAGCGCGGCAGCACATATTCTTTAGCGTCTGGTTGTGGATCCCTCCCTCTTCTCCCTCACATCCCCTCACGTTATTATTCTGCCTGCGTGCGCTGTCATGCATTCGTTTACTCACTCCTGTCTCTGATGTGCTTTAAAATTAAAAACACATTTTTCTCATGAGGGAATTCAAACTGTTGATATCAAGAGCTTTTTTCTGGAGTTTTCACTCAGGCTTCACACACTGGTTACTGACGCTAATTATGCAATCACTTCAAAACGCCGTGAGAAGTGGCCGCGCACGAGTGTTGTCACGGCCTCATCAAACTGTGTCTCTGTGTGCTCCTGCCTCTCATTTTCCTCTCGCTGTGTGTTTTACTTCCAAGCTCTTCAAAGGGAAGTTCTACTACTGCGTGGGTTTCGACGTGAAGAACATCACTAACAAATCCGACTGTCTGGCTTCCAACTATCGATGGATCCACCACAAATACAACTTTGACAACCTCGGACAGGTACAAGAAAGAGAAGGAGACAGCACTGACACTTTTAGATTGTTTGGAACGTGCTTATTCTGGATGTATGCACAAACAACCGTGCTCATAAACTTCACGCACTCAAAGACATCAGATTCACCTGACAGAGGTGACAACATAACCTTCGTGGTGGAGGTGATAACTAAGTTGATGTGCAGCAGATAGTTAAGTAAACTTAGTTTTAGTTAAGTGGTTTGTTTGGAACAATTAGACAAAGAACAAAACTGCATTTTCCAATTTATTAACAAACACAAAAAAGTGATCGACTGATATAAAAGACGAAGATTTCAGTCCCTGAAACACAAACTGTGTTTTTCATGTTTTTCATCAAGATCCGTGAATTAATTTTCCTGGGAAATTGATGAAAATGTCAAAATAACATCTTAATGTGCGATATTGATAAAATCTGTGATGATCTGCACCAACATTCGATGAGCTCTCCCCGGGCCGTTGTCCCTGTCCTTCCACCAAGTCTTGTGGAAATCAGTTCTGCAGTTATTAACCAATAATCAGTAAATTCATCCACCTTGGACGGAAGTAAAGTTGTGTGCGTGTGTTTCCTCTCCAGGCTCTGATGTCCCTCTTTGTGCTGGCCTCCAAAGACGGGTGGGTTAACATCATGTACCACGGCCTGGACGCGGTGGGAATCGACCAGCAGGTGATAACAGACTCACCCTGTGGTTGCACACATCACAGCCCCGTGCTGACACATAGAAAGTGCAGCCGCCTGGAAATCTTTCTGGTTTTTTTTCTGCCACTCACCCGGCGCGGAGTCGCCCACAGGCCTGTTTCTCCAACTGTCCAGCTGCTTCTGGGGAATCCCACGCAGTCTCAGGCCAGATGGGATATGAAATCCCTGGATCTGCTCGGCCCCCGTGACGTCCTCCCAGTTGGATGAGTTCATCCTGGAGGCTTCCTGATAAAAGCTCAGCTGCCTCCAACAGAACTAGAGGAGCATCAGAACCCCTCCAATATCTCTCTTTATCCTTAAAGCCGAACAGAGAAGGGATGCAGGATTGTTCTGAAGTTAATTCATGAGATCTTCCAGTGTAGTAGGCTGCTTAAAGTTCTGATTGTAGCTGAAGTTTCGATCGTGAATCTAAAATTTAGAGTTTTTCTCTTTCAGGCTTTCAGTATTCTGCTCAACTCAAACATGTGGAAACTGCTGCTTTCGTATTTCATCTCTTCTTCCTGGACCCCATTGCAGATACTGCAAGTGTGAAAATATAATGTCCCATCACCAGTCCGTCAAAACTCACACAGAACGAGGAGAGAAGTTCTCCAGGTTCAAGCAGGACAGAGCCACTCTGCTCCGAATGCTTGAGTGCAGAACTTGACCAGACTTTGAACCGTGCGTCCCGGCCGAGCTCAGTCCCACCTGCCTCTCTGTGAGCTCATGATTATAAAAACGGACGACGCCTCTCCACTTCCTCACGTTGCGTATAAATGAAGCTAAACCTTCTAGGATACAGGTGCCACCATCTTGTGCTTCAGACGTCATTTGGATGATGTGATGTGGAATCAAGATGTTTCTGTATCATCACAGAACTCATTAAAAACACTAGAAATACCTACGATGCCAGAAACCATCCTCTGAAACTTTTATTATCGTGTACTTTGACAGCTTCCAATAAGTGAAGCCAGCAGCTCACGTCCTTATTTTAATGTAAATTATTTCTATAAATGTGATTTTAAGTAGATACTTGATTTCCTACATCGTAAAATAAATTGCATTCCCGATAGTAGCACTGCAGTACTGGTACTCGGTGTACTGTGTAATACAGTGGTTCAGAGAAGTTGAGAACTCCAGTAAACTCTCCCTCGCAAAAACATGCACACGCGTGACGTCACGGTCCAATGGCACGATGCAAATGAGTGCACTGAGTGAACAGATTCCCTTTAGGATCGGTTTTATTAGAAAATCTATTAAAGAATCTATTAGGGAGAGGGCATTATTCGGGATGATTCAGTTTCCCCTCCTCGGGGAGAAGCCTCGCTGCAGTCCAACATGGCTCTGAATGACTAATCCAACGCTGAGCTTTCAACGCTCCACACGCTTCCAAATTGAAAATCTCACTCTCATCTCCGGTTTTATTGCATCTGAGCTTGATTTTTTTTTTGTCTGGTAATGACTCCCTCCAATATCTACCCACTCACCCAGTCATCCCCGTCTTTTCATCGCATTGTCTCGCTGTCCTTCCTGTTCCTCTGTTTCCCTGTCACCCTGGGGGCGGCTCTGGGACATTTGGACTTCATTAGAGGTGGATGTGTACATTTCACATGTAGATGAGTAGCCTTCACTTTAAATTCGCTGCTGACGCAATCCAGAAACTGAGCGTCTTTCAGGTTATCCCGATACATTAAACTAGATCTTTTTCATTTTATACTTTAACTGTATTGCTATAAATCCTCTGTTTTCCTTTCTGCTTGTTTTCTATCTTCCTCCCACCCTCTTCTTCTGACTTCCAGCCGCTGACCAACAACAATCCCTGGATGCTGCTCTACTTCATCTCCTTCCTCCTGATCGTCAGCTTCTTTGTCCTCAACATGTTTGTGGGCGTGGTGGTGGAGAACTTCCACAAGTGTCGGCAGCACCAGGAGGTGGAGGAGGCCAAGCGCCGCGAGGAGAAACGCCAGCGGCGCATGGAGAAAAAGAGGAGAAGTAAGAGGGGAGGAGGAAAAGGGGGAGTGGGGGAGAACTGAGTGGGGGGAAAAAAAGGTAGATGCTTTGAAGCTGATGAAATACAAACAAAAAAGTAGGATTAGGAAGAAAATTCGAGGTGTGAGGAACGAGGAAATGAAAAGATAGGAGCTAAACGTGAAAAAGAAGATAGATGGAGAGAGTCCAGGGACGTGAGGATAGATGGAACAGAGGAGGACAGATGGGACACCTGAACCTCGTGGGACTAGATGATGAAGGATAGGAGTCCTTCTGGAAAACAGTGGAGGACCAGAGGGAAGGAATGAATCAAGTAGGAAACAAAGTGTACTGTATAGAAATAATATTAATACATTCAGGATGAGAGACTCGTATCTAACAAAACCTCTCAAGTTGCTTCGGGATGAATCCGTAGGAAGGCAAATATCTGGGTCACCGTAAAATGTCCAGAAAATTCCACGCAAGGGTTGTTGTTGATGACGTGAGGATCCAAATGTCTCAGGATGAAGAGGAGGAGGAGAAGCCGTACACGTAGAGGACGCAGATGAAGATGGAAAGACGACATTCAAAAGCTCATGGCGATAAAGTCAGAGGCTGATTTCGCTGAGCTGTGAACAAAAACATGTGAATTCTGCTGCAGAATTCAAACGTCGTAGAGAAACTCCAGAAATATCCAGACCCTAGTTTCCGCAGCAGCTGAAGATACACGGCAGCAGGTTAGATGGTAAAATAATGATATGTGCAGTACTTCCTCCAGGGTAGAATCCAAATGACGCACTTATTATTTAATATTTACGTGACACATCTTTGACTCCCTCTTCCTTGTTTGTTTGAATACATCTTTATATTTGCACCTCACATGGATTTCGTTCACGCTCTCTCGCCTCTTGTCCTTCGTCCCTGACGCCTTCGTTTTTCTACATTATTCCCTCTGTGATTCTGTTCACTCGTTCATCTCCTCTTGCTTCCTCCTCCATCAATACTTCCATCCTTCTCATTGATCCAAATCCCCACTTAACCTTATTCTCTTCTTCCTCCATCGCCCTCCTCCTTGACTTTCCGCAGAGGCCCAGAAGCTGCCATACTACGCCTCTTACGGCCGCACCCGCCTGGCGATCCACACTCTGTGCACCAGCCACTATCTGGACTTGGTCATCACCTTCATCATCTGCATCAATGTCATCACCATGTCCCTGGAGCACTACAGCCAGCCGCAGGTGAGCGCACCTCTTGTTGGAGGGATCGCCGCGGCGTGGGTGTCGGAGTGAGACACGGCAGACTTGTTCAAGGGCTTCTGAGTGGGTGGTGATGCACCATCTGGATTTTTTAAAGTGGGCACTCCCAGAGGCAGGCTGCCAACCTGCTGTTCTGAATCAGCGGCAAAAAGAGCCAACGAGCAAAACAGCCATCCACACGCTGGAAGACGAACACGCCGGCGGATCAGGGTGTTGGTTATGTAAAATGTTTCTCAGAGGCAGAGATAGAATCAGTTCAGAGTGAAATGTTAACTCTCGTGTGATCTCGGGTTCTTTTCACACTTCTCATAGTAACGGCAAAAAGTTTTGACGGTCCTCATTCATTCAGTGTATCCTGACTCGGATCTCTTCCTCTCTCTCTCAATATAACACGCAGACACAGGCAGACACATGCAGTCACACACACAAACACTGCCATTGGACACATTTGTAAACTCAGACTTTAAAAACAACTTAATTTATG